TGACTCCCATGTCATGCAATTGATTACAAAATTCCTCAGAGAGACCTTAAGAGTATCCTTGTATTGTTTCTTCTGACCTTTGTGTGAGTTCTTGCCTTATGTGAGTTTTCCATAAAAGTCTTTTAAGCAAACATACATTTGATATTTGAACAAAATGACCAGCCCATCAGAGTTGTGCTCTTTGCAGTACAGTTTGTTTTTTTTTAATTTTTTTTATTAATTTGATTTATCAATAATCACTTCCATATGCTTTTGAATTTAAAATTTTTCTCCCCCTTCCTCCCCACCACCCTCCCCAAGATGGTGCACAATCTGATATAGGCTATACATTTACATTCATATTAAACATATTTTCACATTAGTAATATTGTAAGTAGAAATTAAAACCAATAGGAGGAACCATCAGAAAGAGGAAACAAAACTCAACAGAAGAGAAAAAAATAACAATTCAGCTTCCATAGTTCTTTGTTTGGGTGTGGATAGCATTTTCCATCACAAGGCCTCTGGAGATGTCTTAGATCCTTGTATTGCCAGGAAGGGTTAAGTTTATCAATATTAGTCATCACACAACATGGCTGTTATTGTGTACAACGTTCTCTTGGTTCTGTTCACTTCACTCAGCATCAGACCATACAAGTCTTTCCAGGTTTTTCTGAAGTCAGCCTGTTCATCATTTCTTATAGCACAATAGTATTCCATCACATTCATATACCACAACTTGCTCAGCCATTCCCCAGTTGATGGGCATCCTCTCAATTTCTAATTCTTTGCCACCAAGAAAAGAGCTACTATGAATATTTTTGTACATGTAGGTCCTTTTCCCATTTGTGTGATCTCTTTGGGATACAGCCCTAGAAGTGCTATTGCTGGGTCAAAGGGTATGCACATTTTTATAGCCCTTTGGGCATAGTTCCAAATTGTTCTCCAAAATGGTTGGATCATTTCACAACTCCACCAACAATGCATTAGTGTTCCAATTTTACCACATGCTCTCCAACATTTATCATTTTCCTGTTTTGTCATGTTGGCCATTCTGATAGGTGTGATGTGGTACCTCAGAGTTGTTTTGATTTGCATTTCTCTAATCAATAGTGATTTAGAGCATTTTTTCATATGACTATAGATGGCTTTAATTTCTTCATCTGAGAAGTGTCTGTTCATATCCTTTGACCACTTATCAATTGGGGAATGGCTTGTATTCTTATAAATTTGGCTTAATTCTCTACATATTTTAGAAATGAGGCCCTTATCAGAGAGATTGGTTGTGAAAATTCTTTCCCAATTTTCTACCTTCCTTCTAATCTTAGTTGCATTGGCTTTGTTTGTGCAAAAACTTTTCAATTTAATGTAATCAAAATTATCTATTTTGCTTTTCATAATGTTCTTTATCTCCTATTTGGTCATGAATTCTTCTGTTCTCCATAGATCTGACAAGTAAACTATTCCTCTCTCAGTTTGCTTATAGTATCCGCCTTTATAATCATGTACCCATTTTGACATTATTTTGGTATATGGTGTGAGATTTTGATCTATGCCTAGTTTCTGCCATACTCTTTTCCAGTTTTCCCAGCAGTTTTTTTCAAAGAGTGGGTTCTTACCCCAGAAGCTGGGGTCTTTGGGTTTATCAAATAATAGATTACTATAGTCATTGACTACTGTGTCTTGCATACTTAACCTATTCCACTGATCCACCACTCTATTTCTTAGCCAGTACCAAGCAATTTTGATGATTGCTGCTTTATAATACAATTTAAGATCTAGAATGGCTAGGCCACCTTCCCCTGAATTTCTTTTCATTAGTTCTCTTGATATCCTGGACCTTCTGTTCTTCCAAATGAATCTTACTATTTTTTCTAACTCTATAAAATGATTTTTTGGTAGTTTGATTGGTATGGCACTGAATAAGTAAATTAGCTTAGGTAGAATTGTCATTTTTATCATATTAGCTCGGCCTACCCATGAGCAACTGATGTTTTTCTAATTATTTAGATCTGATTTTATTTGCGTGAAAAGTGTTTTGTAATTGTGTTCATAGAGTTCCTGGGTTTGTTTCAGGAGGTAGATTCCTAAATATTTTATAATGTCAGCAGTAAGTTTAAATGGAATTTCTCTTTCTATCTCTTGCTGTTGGGCTTTGTTGGTAATATATAGAAATGCCGATGATTTATGTGGGCTTATTTTATAGCCTGCAACTTTGCTAAAGTTGTTTATTATTTCAAGTAGTTTTTTACTTGATTCTCTGGGATTCTCTAAGTATAATATCATGTCATCTGCAAAGAGTGATAGCTTCGTTTCTTCTTTGCCTATTCTAATGCCTTCAATGTCTTTTTCTTCTCTTATCGCTAACTCAAGTTGCAAACTCAGTAGAGTTTGAACGCTTGTTAGTTTAGTGATTTTATCTACCACAAAACTGCCCAAAACTCATCCAGAAACTCATGGGCTACAGGAAAGGAGGCCTGCCAAAAAAGCCAATAGCAGTATAGACAAACAAGACAGAAGTCTCCTAGCATGAGCCAGATAGACTTGTAGCATGCAGAGCTAAAACAGAAGGCTCCCACAAGAAATTTCCAGTGTTGTCAGAAACTCACAACACAAAGCTTTGAAGTAACTGGGAGTAGCAGGGTGATAACATATCAACAAAAATGTTATTAAAAAAAGAAACAAATGGTCAATTTTTTAATATTAAGCATATTTTATTTTTTATAATGTCCAATACTGAGAGTGCCAGGGACCCGAGGTCAAATTTCGTCTCAGGCACTTAATAGCTGTATGACCCTGGGCAAGTCACTTAACCCCGTTTGCCTCAGTTTGCTCAAATGTAAAATGAACTGGAGGAGGAAATGGCAAACCACTTCAGTATCTTTGCCAGGTCAAGGAGAAGATATTGCAAGAAGCCAGAAGGAAACAATTCAAGTATTGTGGTAACACAATCAGGATAACACAAGATTTAGCAGCTTCTACATTAAGGGTCCGGAAGGCATGGAGTATGATATTCCGGAGGGCAAAGGAATTAGGACTACAACCTAGAATCACCTACCCAGCAAAACTGAGTATAATCCTTCAGGGTAAAAAACGGTCATTCAATGAAATAGAGGACTTTCAAGCATTCCTGTGGAAAAGACCAGAGCTGAATAGAAAATTTGACCTTCAAATACAAGACTCAAGTGAGACATGGAAGAGGTAAACAGGAAAGAGAAATCTAAAGAGACTTCTTATAGTTGAACTGTTTACATTCCTGCATGGCAAGATGATATTTGTAACTCATGAGACCTTTGTCAGTGTTACGGTAGTTGGAAGGAAAAAATTATATGTATGTACATAGATAGATAGAGGGCACAGGGTGAGTTGAAGATGAAGGGATCATATCTGGAGAATAAAATTAAGGGGTGAGAGAGGTTTATACTAGGAGAAGGAGAAAGGGAGAGGCAGAACAGGGTAAATTATCTCACAAAAAACAGAAAAGAAAAAGCTCTTACAGTGGAAGGGAAACAGGGGAAGGTGAGAGGGAATGAGTGAATCTTATTCTCATAGGATTTGACTTAAGGAGGAAATAACACACACACTCAATTGGGTATGGAAATCTGTCTTACTCTACAGGAAAATGGGGGGGAAGGGAACAAGAGAGTAGGGGGATAATAGAGAGAAGGGTAGATTGGGAAAGGGGGTAATCAGAAGCAAATACTTCTGAGGAGGGACAGGGACAAAAGAAAGAATAGAATAAATGGAGGGGCGGGATAGGATTAAGGGAAATAGAGTTAATTTTTCACAGTATGTCTACCATGGAAGTGTTCTGCATGACTGCACAGGTATAACCTATATTGAGTTGCTTGCCTTTTTAATGAAGGTGGGTGGGGAGGGAGGAAGGGAGAAAATTTGGAACCCAAAGTTTTAAAAACACGTTTAAAAAAATGTTTTCACATGCCTGGGAAATAAGAAATACAGGAAATGGGGTACAGAAATCTCTCTTGCCCTACAGGAAAACAGAAGGGGAAGGGGATAAGAAAAGGGGGGGAGACACAAGGGAAGGCAGACTAGGGGAAGGGGTATTTAGAATACATGCTATCTTGGGGTGGGGGGAGGGCGAGACGGGGTGAAAATTTGGAACTCAAAATCTTGTGGAAGTAAATGTTGAAAACTAAAAATAAATAAATTTATTAACAAAAAAGTAGAAGAAGAAGAAGAAGAAGAAGAAGAACCCTGGATTGGGAGCTTTCCCCAGGCTGCAGCGACTGTAGCTCTGGTCTCCCTGGGGACCTTCAAGCTGGTTGAATCATCCTCCAAAATAACAGGTTTAGGTGACAAACCAGTCAAGTTTCCTGTTTTAGCATTTAATTCTATTTAAATTCAACGATCATTTTGAACATTTCCTATTGTATAGACACTATCTTGTCCTTTTTTGAAGTCAACAATCAAAAAATGAGCTTCGGGATTTTTGTTCTCATTTATTTTGTTGTGGAGGTGATGGGGGAAGATGACAGAGATAATTCAGCAGGGAATATAATGCTATCCTTGTAGTTTCTCATCTCCAGGTCACTCCTGTCTTCCACACATGCTTTTTCTCTCTGTTACAGATCAGAATTCATCCTCTATTGGAAATGAAAATTCTCACAGCACTTTCTTTTTTTTATGTAAAAGAAAAAAGCATTCCTGTATTTTGTTTCAAAACAATAAATTTTTCTAAACAAACCTCAAAAAAACTCATTTGAAAGTACATTCCTCCACAAACATTTAGATCATTTTAACAGCTTGAGGCACAAACATTTAGATTAACAGAAAGGAACAATGTCATTTAAACTGAGGGAGACAAAGGTGAAAGGATCTCTCAGGTCACACAACTAATGAGTGCCTGAGGCCAAATTTGAACTCAGGTCTTCCTGATTCCAGGAAGACTATCTTCATGAGTTCAAATCCAGCTTCAGATACTTAACAGCTGTGTGACCTGGGCAAGTCATTTAACCCTGTATACCTCAGTTTCTTCATCTGTAAAATGAGCCAGAGAAGGATATGGCAAACCACTCTAGTATTTTTGCCAAGGAAACCCCAAATGGGGTCACAAAAAAATAAAAAATAAAAGAGGTAAGTGTGGGTGTCATATAAACCCAAAACACTGTTACTGAAACTTGATTCCTTGTGCGAGAGGAAGGTCTTTACTGTAGTTGATGGTGCTAAGGAAAAAAGAAAGAAAAAAAAAATTTTTAGAAAAATAGCTTTAAGGTTTCCAAAACTGACTTAAGCAAAGAATAATGTCTCTACACAGTCAGATTTCTCTTGGGAGGAATTCTTCCAGACAAGGTTCCCAGGGTGAGGGGGAAGGAAGACACAGCAGACTGCTGAGGCAAGTGGAAAAAGTGGAAGAATGTGACAACAGGGAAAGAGCGTGTGCTGTAGAAAAGGATTACTAATCAGAAATGAGCCATAAATCCAGCAACCATCTCCCTAAAGAGCCATTTACGTGCTCTGGACACAGAAGACTGCTTCTGTGAGCCATGCATGCTATTTTCTCCAGGCTAGTAAACCCTCAACTTGCTTCAGAAGACAGGCACTTGCACTGCTCCCATCTCATCATTACGGACAAAAACAGTCATAATACAGAGATACCCATGGAAACGGCAATTTCTGAGCTTGGAGAAAATATGAAAAAAAAAAAAAGAATCAAATTCAGGTTGACATAATGTGAGTGAGGGAAGATCTTGGAAGGAAATCTCCAGATCACTTTCTACTTTCAATGTTTTTCTGGTTTAGTCTAATTCTTACCAAGTAGATCGTCTCATATATTGCTTCCATGAATCACCTCCTGATTCTCTGCCACCACCAGTATGCTTCTCACCTCCTAAAACACCAAAACAATTTCACAACTCAGCTAACCTTTTTTAAAAAATAAAATAAGATTTTACTTGCCAGGGTAGAGGAATACATAAAACTAAGATAAGACCTATCACCATCACCTATGTTCCCCAAAGTAGTGGATATGGTACGTTCCCCCACTCTGCCTGACATGTACCTTACTTCCTCCCCATTCATTTTGAACAAATATCTACTACGTCCAAAACAGCATTCAGTGCTATGGTTCAGGAACCAAAGGTAAAGAGAAAACAATGAGATACAAACATATATTCTTATTTTTAGAAAAGACAAAACATGTGTTATAATAGAGGTACAAAAATGCTAGGGCAGTTCTAAGGAAGGTGACGATTTCTGAATGATGGAATCTCATTGAAGAGATCGACTGAAATCCTCACTATACTTCAAAGCTCAGCTCAACAGCTAAAAATACAGGGGGTAGCATTCAAGGTAGTGGTAACAGTTTGAGAAAAGATACAAGGACCAAGTGGCAAAGGACATGTTTATGGAGCTGTAAGTAATCCAATTTGACTGGAAGACAGGGTACATGGAGGAGTTATGTCTATATATGAGATATGCCTATGGCAGGTTTGGAGAATCAGAATGCAGAAGGCCTTGAATGATAGTCTAAGAAACTAGACTTTATTCTGGAAGTAACTGGAAACTAAAGGTTTACAACCAGGGAAGTGACATAATTAAAGGAATGCATTAAGAAGATTAATAGGACACCACTAAGCAGATTAGAGGAGAGAACTTTAGGATGTTGCTGACAATAACGACTTGAAGTAGGAGTGAAAACTCCTTCTTTGACTTTGGGGAAAAGAATTAACAGGATTCAGCAAAAGTGCATTTGTTACAAGGGCCTCTTCTCTTTTCTGGGGTGGGTAATGGAGGGAGTCACACTCCACCCAAAAAAAAAAAAAAAAGAAGAGGGTCATCAAAGCATTCTTTTAAGAAAGCAGAGAATAGAAGTCTAGAGAGAGGCACAGACAAGCAGGGCAGTTTTAAAAGCTGAAGGTTGAACTTATATACTTAAAAAGAAAAGCAAGCTATACATAATAGAAATTTACAGTTTCACGTACAATCCTTTTCCTGATATACTATGTCTATGCAAACATCCATTTTATTTGATGTTTGTTAAGTTCAGAATAAAAAAAAAAACAGGCCTCGGCAAATGACCAGATGGGAATGGGGGTGAGTAGGAGATGCAGAATGGTGAGAGTAGTGAAGTAGAGGGAAAAAAAAGGTTACTCCAACTCCAACGTTTGAGCCTAGGTGATTAGGATGATGGCAGTATCGTTAAGGATATTCAAGAAGAGCTGATTTGTGAGAAAAGGAAAAGGGGGAAGGGTGGTAATGGTGGTAGAGATTCATCTCTGTTGAGGCCAGAGATACTTACAGAGATCTGAGAGTCAACAGCCTAAGAGACAATCAGGTGAAGTCATTAGAGCAAATGAAATTACCACGAAGAAGGCTAAGAGACCAAGCAGTGAAGGTTGAGGGCAGAACCTTGAAAACTGTTTAGATGCAGGGAAAGGAATGGAAAAGTATCCAGTAAAGGAAACAAAGAAGCATCAGAGAAAAGAAAATAATTAGGATTCAGCAATGTATTAGAAGCCAAAGTAAGAAAGTTTCAAGGGCATAAAGGTCAAGAATTATGATTGAACCAATATTATTAATGACTTCTGAGAAGTGACTTCAACAAAACAGAGGCAGGAAACTGGTAAGAAATAAAGGAATTGAGGCAGGAGTGAAAAAGTAAAAAGCTGAAAATAGAATACCTTTTCAAGTACTTTGTAAAGGTACTTTACTTTCCTCTCCTTCAAAAAGGTGAAGGCGAGGAATAGGCAGGTAGCAGAAGTAGGTAAGTAGGTAGGGGAAAACTGATTGAGAGAAGGAATTTTTAGAATAAGGGAGACTCAACATGTTTGTAAACAAAGGCAAAGGTATCAATGAGGAGGGAAAAAATGAAAATAGAAGAGCAATAAGTGAAAGAACATCATCCTAAAAGATACTTCAGAAGATAAAAAGCCCAGGTCAAAGAACTGACCTTGGAAAAGAATTTGTTCATCTAATGTGGGAGAGGAAGAGAAGATGGGTGAAGAAAGAAAAATATTTAAATAGAAATGAGGAAAGTTTAAGACACTTGTATCTCAATTGTCTCCACCAGTTTTTTAGTACACAGTGAACTCATCTTGAGCAAGGTGTACGGAGATAAGTTTAGGAGCTTAAATGAGTAGATAAGATTTAAAACAAACCTTAAGTATAAATGTTAGGGATTCAAGGGCACTAATGACTATAAGGTTAAAGAACATGGGTCCTATAATGGGTAATGATACAAATGGAAATCTATGGGCGCTAGTGGCAGTAAAAAGGACAGAGGACCAAAGGGAAGGCTCAGTAGGACTGAAGAAGTGGAAGAGAGAGAAAGTTAGGATATTACATAGTCAAAGAAAGGAATCTGAGATCTTGCAAATGGTACAATTCTGAGTGATGCGGATGAGCTGTGTTCATGAACTGTATAGTCCGGGAAGAGGTGAAATTCCCTCAAATTAATGCCTTTTCTCCTCTCTTGGACTAACAAACTTCTAAAAACAATACACTGGAGGCCTCTCCTTCACCACTCCCTTATGTGGCAATTTCTTTATGATACAGCTTTCTTCCTTACCATTCTGACCCTGCTCTCTCCAATATCACTAACATTTTCTTTGCTGCTAAAACAATTGCCAGTACTAATGCAAGGGACCCCCAAATCTACAGATCTGGCCCCATTCTTTCCCTTCAGCTCCAACGTGCAATCTCTAAATATCTGCTATCTGGAATTGAACATCTGTACTTGGATGTCCCACCAGAACATCAAACTTTCTATGTCTTCTTCACTCCTTGCCCCATCCCACCAAAAAAAGAACCCTAGCCCTTCTTGCATTTGATCTATTTTCATTAATACTACCATCTTATCAGTAACCTAAACTGGTAAGCTCAGCATCATCATTGACTCTTCTCCCATTCTCACATACAGTTGCAAAATCCTGTTATTTCTATCTTTACAATCTCTCACCTCCACTCACTGAAACCAACCTAGTCAGGGCCCCTATTTCTTCTTATCTAAGTTATTGAAAGTTCCCTAGCTGATGTTTCTGTTTCCAGTCTAACCTCTCTTTAATCCATCTTCACAATACCCCCTGAAATTTTTTTTTTCCAATTGTACTACTCGAGATCAGATCCTTCTACTCAAAAACCTTTAGTGGGTCCCCATAGCCCACTGACGTCACCTGGTTCTGACCTCACTTCCCAGGCTTATATTATTACCCTTTATGTACCATAGATGATAGCCAAAATAGACTGCTTTCTTTACCATCTTCCCATATCTGGAGTGGAACTCTCTCCACTTTGGCCTTCCCCTCCACCCCATTTCATGCCCATATCAATCCCTCCCTTCCTTCAAAGCCTAACCCCCCCAAAAAAAATTTAAGTTTCTATTTTGCAAGATCTTATTCAAGGGCTGCCCATTCCATGGAGCCTTTCCTGCTTCTGTCCCTACCTATTCACCAGCTGAAAATAATCCTTTCTCAAAGCTTCTCCTAGCATACATCAATCACCTTTTCTTTGCATTTATACTCTCCTTTATGCCATAGTTATTTGGCTAAAAATTCTATGAGAGCAAAAGGGACATTAGGGATCAAGAGAATGTCATTACTAGAAGGAATTTGAAAATAGCCCAAAGTACTCCAGAAAGACCAGCCTAAAAGAGTGATGCTGTATAGTCATCTTTAATTTCCATTCTTGAAGCAGTGATTTTGTCAGCATGGCCTAACTCTCAGCACTATTTAATAGACGAGTCCTAGAGAGTTGTCTCTAGCACAAAGAAGCTAAAAACTGTAAGAGTCTGGATTTGGATCCAGGTTGTCCTGACGATCATAAGGATGCTATGATAATACATTCTAAAGCTAAATTTAAGAAGGCAGGTATCAACATTAAAAAAATAAATTATATTTTTCAAAATTAATTGTATATACTGTCAGATTTTATTGAAACCTGGATAAGCTTTGCTGAACTGCTTTTCCTTTTGTGTTTTGTTACAAAGAATGGCATGCTGGATAGGAGAGGGGGAAACAACAGCAATGTAAAAAAGATATGAAAATACTTTTTAAAAATGTAATGCTTAAGATACTTTACTTAACCTAAACCATAATGAGGATATAACATTTTAAAATTTAAACTATAGCACACTTCATTTTCCATTTGTGCCAACAACTCCAAGCTAACCAAGGACTATCTATTTTTACTTTACCTTAAGGCAAACTGGTCAGTTAAATTTGGGCTAAGAATACAAAACTGTTACTGGCTTCTTCCCCTACCACTGTAACTGTGACTCCAGAATTTGGATTTGTTACTAGGGAGAAGAGTGAGGACTGCTTGGTGAAAACAAAAACTGAATATACCTAGGTCTAGAGATAGTATTTAATATTTATTAAGCCCGTTTTTGATTATAGGAATTGAAGTATTCTTTTTCAAAATTTTTATTGCCTAGATCATTAAAATATTAGATCTGGGGACAGAACTTAAAGAATATTGGCCACTATGTGGAATACTAAACATTAGGTCAGCTAAGAGTAAAAATTACTGTTATTTTCTGACACTCTGTTCTCGATTTAGGGTTAAAAAATATTTCTCTTTTTTTCCCTTAATTTATATTTTTATTGAAGCCTATTGTTACATATCACATTCTGCCCCTTCCCTCCTCAGTAAGCCTTCTCTTAAAACAAAGAATTGTAAAAGAAAAAAAAGCAGTTCAGCAAAACCAAACAACACATCAACATAGTCTAATAGTACACATCTGCAATATCCCCACCCATATCCCACCACTTCTATAATAAAGATAATTTTTCTCAATCCTTCAGAGTCCAAGCTTTAATGAAACATTTCTAAAATCCAATATTTTTCCCCCATTTCATGTGAAACGCAGAAAACAATTCCCCACATACCAAATGCACCTCCAATCTCAGCACCACTCGTTGGAATATTGACATTAACAATGCCACAATCTGATCCTTTAGGCCTATATCAAACAGAGCGATAACAGACATTACTGTGGGGAAGATGGCACCTTAAAAAGTTATTTTTCTAAAGTATTTTGTGCTGAAAAAAAATTTTAACTCTGTCTACCTTTAAAAATGGTTCAGTGAGGGGCAGCTAAGTGGTGCAGTGGATGGAGTACCGGCCCTGGAATCAGGAGGACCTGAGTTCAAATCCGGCCTCAGACACTTGACACTAGCTGTGTGATCTTGGGCAAGTCACTTAACCCCAACTACCTCACCAAAAAATAAATAAATAAAAATAAAAGCTGTTCAGTGACTATGATTTTTCAACCTAAATCTATATCTCTTATCTGCACAGGTAATGACATACCCAAGCCATCGAAAGATTCTGCCCAAATCCTTTGTGAAGATACTGCTTGAAAGACCCTGTTTTACTTCATTATTCCACGTATAGACCTCGTCTTCATTCTGTAAATACAAAGAAAGTGAACTGTGAGGTAACATACTTAATATCAACAGTAGGTGAATTATCATATTCTCAAGTCAAAATAAACATCATTTCATCATCTTAAATCAAACATACGTGTGTGTACATAAATGTGGCTAACTGTGCACATACTCAGGAGTTTGAAGAGTAGTAGTTTTTATTCATATATTCATCTCATTCCTTTAGTGTTACCATCTCATCATATTTCCCTATGAATCTTCAGGTTTTAATCAATCAGAATGACCTCCTAGGATCTACCGAACATTTGCTCTAGTAACATTTTATAAATTTAGGTCTTTTCTTCTCAACCCCTAACTTATTCATTGGAAAATTAGCCTGTTACACGAATGCGAAACACAGAAAGAAAAAGCACTATCAGTTTTCACCTTGAATTTTAAAACATAAAGGAGAGGAGCAAACGTCTCTCTGTGCACAATGGATGCATCATGATCAAGACCAGTCACAATCGTTGGCTCTACGTAATTTCCAGGACGATCTATAGTCTTTAAGGAGAGGAAAATAAAAAAGGAAAGAAAATTGCATTTTATGTTTCCAGGTATGTATTATCTATAAAGGAAAAAACATTCAGTAAGGGGAAAAGTATGATTCCAAAATAAATCCATTGCAAATAAAAATTTTAAATGATACATCACCCTTTGCTGTTTTAACTAAGTTGGCTGCAGCCTACTTTCATTGGAGCTAGCTTTTTTTTAAACAGTCTGAAAGGGAGCTAAATCTTTATATGACATTCAAAAAAAGGTCTTTGAGTCCTAAAGAGTTATATCCATTATTAAATTGTAAATGATGCAAATAATAAACAGAACATTAATCTGAGTATCATCTTTTGGATATTGCAAAACAATACTTTAAATAGAAAACTGTTAAGTTTTCATATGTCAGGAACATCAGACTGATATTCTTGCACTGCATAAAAGACTGAACTGACATTAAAATTCCTTTCTAATATTATGACTACGATTTTAAGTTATTTTATAAAGTCCATATAAGGCATGGTAATTAGTTTTTGAGGATATACCCAGTGAAACTGACACTATAGTTGAAAAAGATAATCACTACTACTATACTACAACTTCCTTCCTCCATCCTTATTCCTCATCGTTCCTCTGTCAGGGAGAGCATGAAAAGACAGGACAGGGGGCAAAAAAAAATAAGAGAGAGAGAGAGAGAGAGAGAGAGAGAGAGAGAGAGAGAGAGAGAGAGAGAGTTAGTTGAAGTAGATGGGAAAGAAAGAAATAAGAACCAAAAAATGAGAGATATAGGTGGGGAAGATGAAGAAAAAGATATGACAATTATTAAGCTATTATTAGCTGTACTCTACGCTTCTAATTAAAATCTGCTAAATGATTCCATGATTCCGTGAAATAAAATCACACAAAGACCTGCTTTTTAAAGCAGTGATTTTTTTTTTCCTTAAAATACTAGTGGAATATGAAGAAGGAAGAGAACAAAAAGAATGTAAGGTCTATTAGGGAAATAAGAGACCAAGAAAAGTAAATTCTGTCTTATTCACCACTGGCCCTAAGTACAGCAAGGGAGGTGATTTCAAACATGTGACATGATGAATTATAGAAACTGTAGCCTTTACCTTCCCACCATAGACCACTATGCCACCTTGCTTTTTGGCATCTTCCACTGCACCAAGGAACATGTTTACTGCCTGTTTGGTGTGGAGGGGCCCATAAAGGACATTAGCTAAAGAGAGAAAAGAAATTCTTAATGATTTTTCCCTCAAAGACATCAATTCATGACAAAAATATAGTTTACTAATGTCTCACAATTAATTACACTGTCAATTACCCCTTGGTTTTCACCCTCAAAATAGCCTGATGGCTATTATATTGAATTAATTAAGACTACTCCACTCTCCACAAGGTATTTGCAATAGCTAACCTAAGCTAGCATGGCAAATCAACAATTAACTTTCCATTTTTTTTTTACCAATTAACTATTTGAACCAGCATCTTCTTAATATTTCACTGCCAAGAATCCCAGGAATTAGAAGAAAGACTCTGGGAAGGCTAATGGAAAAGTCAATGAACTATGAGAATGACATGATTCAAGAGGCCGCCAGGTGGCGCAGTAGATACAGCACCAGCCCTGGAGTCAGGAGGACCTGAGCTCAAATCTGACCTCAGACACATGATACATACTAGCTGTGTGACCCTGGGCAAGTCACTTAACCCCAACTGCCTCACCAAAAAAAAAAAAAAAAAAAAAAGGAATGATGTGATTCAGCAGAAAGAACACCAGATTAGGAGTCAGGAGACCTAGCTTTTATTCTCAGCACTAGCTCTAAAACTACCTATATAATCTTGAACAAATCATTTAACCACTCTAGGCCTCAGTTTCTTCATCTGTAAATCAAGAGAATTAAACAAGAACTCTAAAATCTCATCCGAGGGGTCACTTCATAAGCATACATCAAAAAAAATAAATAAATAAAGACCCTAACAACCACCAAATTAATAATCTACTAGTAAAATAGTTTTGGCTATAAAACAAAAGCACAACCAAAATACTGTTTTAAGTTTTTTTTTAATACGAAATTTCATTTGGCTCATATCTTGACTTCTAAATTCTTATCCTAATAATATCAGGTCCAATCCTGACATTTAGTCAAGGATATGCTGGTAAATGTTTACCAAAAAGCTCTCTGAAAACACATGATACACTTTTAAGTTTAATCTGTATTATTAACATTTTTTCCAACATTTCCTAAGTGTAGATAGTCAACAAAATAATAAATCAAGCCCTCATATGGAAGTATGTTGACTTCCAAAATGCAAATGCTCACACTGAAACTTTGGACTTTCTCAAGCTAGTATGATACGGCTCCCAGCACATCCCTGCATTTAGTACTGTGCCCTAGTTAGACTACATTTAAACCAACATAGTTGTGTTCAGTTCTGGGCAGCACATTTTAGGGAAAAGATAGAAGAAAACTATCCAGGACAACTAGGATAGTAAAAGACCTCATCATCATGAAATATAAGGAGTGGTTAAAAGAACTGGGAATACTTAGGCTAGAAAAGAGATAGTGTAGGGTTGGAATGTAGTAGCCATCTTTAGTATTTGAAGGTAATAACTTGAAGGTAATAATCTCAAAGAGAAATTAGATTTGTCATACTTGATCCCAAAACACAAAACTAGGAAAAATGGGTAAAGTTACTAAGGACCAAATTTAAACATCGTTTAAGGAAAAAGTTCCAAAAGTGGTATGGGTTATCTCAAGAGTTAGTAGTGGGTTTCCCCTCACTGTAAGTCTTAGGGCTAGAGAGAAGAATTTTGTTTAGAAACAGGTTTGCCTAGCTCTAGAGAGACACTGACATCTCTTCCCACTCTGAAGTCCCTCAAGTGGCTTCAATACTGATCCTCAGCCCACTTAAAAGATCCAAAAGAATAGCTACTTTTGTCATGAAGGAAATTTCTCTTTTGAAAACACTTTGACATGGAACATATTACCCATCAGACTTATGGATAGGAAAAGAATTTATACTTATCAAACTGACTAAAATGATAGAAGGAGAAAATGACAAATGTTGGAGGGGATGTATTGGGACACTAATACACTGTTGGTAGAACTATAAACTGATTTAACCATTTTGGAAAGCAATATGGAATTATGCCCAAAAAGTTATAAAATTGACCCAGATAAACCATTATTAGGTCTATTTCCCAAGGTAACTGGAGAAAAAGGAAAAGAACCTATATGTTCTAAAATATTATATTTGGTAATAAAATAATTTCTAAAATACTCATAGAAGCTCTCTTTCTAGTGGCAAAGAACTAGAAATTGAGGGGATGACCATAAACTGGGGAATGGCTAAACAAGTTGTAATATCTGATTGTGATGAAATACCACTGTGCCTTAAGAAATGATGAGCAGGTTGAATTTAGAAAAACATGGGAAGACTTGAATGAAATAATGAAAAGTGAAATGAGCAGAACCAAGAGAACATTGTATACACTAAGTAATTTTGTTTAAAGAATAACTGTAAATAACTAAGTTATTCTGAGTATTATAAATACTCAAATCAACTATCTGATTTGAACCTATGAAGAAAGATGCTAGCCACCTCCAGGGAGAACTGATAAATAGAAGTATGCATAGGATGGTTTTACACACACACACACACACACACACACACCCCTGTATCAAATGGTAGCCTTTTCTGGTGTGGGGTGGGGAAGGAGGTAGGGAGACAGTTCAGAACTTGAAATGTAACAAAAATAAATTTAATTTTTAAAAAAGTGAATTCTATTAAATATTCAAAGAACAATTACTTCCAATACTATATAAATTGCTTGCAATAAGAAAAGAGGGCACCTTTCTAAACTCTTTCTGATACAAATATGATCTTGATACTTAAGCCAAGGTGAGACAAAACAGAGAAAGAAAACTATAGAACAATTTTCCTAATAAATAATGATGAAAATATGTTTAATAATATATTAGCAAGTAGGCTACAACAACATGTTAGAAGGATTGCACATTAGGACTAGGACCCGTTAGGGTATGTAGCAGGAATACAAGGTTAATCCAACAACTACAGAACTATTCATTTAATAAACTATATTAATAATATAAGTAATAAAAATGATATGGTTATTTCAATAGATACTGGAAAGGCTTTTGACAAAAATACAAGTATTTTTATTAAAAACTCTTAGAAATCACAGGAATAATTAGACCTTTCTTTAATGTAGTAAATACCACTTCTCTAGATCCAAGAGCAAAAAAAAGAAAAAAAGAAAAAAAAACACTTACCATCCCATGGATTTCCAATACGAATTTGTGCATATGCCTTTTTAAGTTTGTCCACCACTTCATCATGGATGCTTTCATGCAAAAACTAAAAATAAATATACATGGAAAATTTAAAAATTAGAAAAATTTTTAACATTCTGAAATTTTTTATAGTCCTCTAATTTAAAAAGGTTCCACCATTCAAAATTTCCAAAAACAATGAACAGAAACAAAAAATATTTCACAAGTTTATTTTTTTATTTGTTAAAATTTGAATTATATCTCTGCACATTTTAATATTATTCTCTTTTAATGTTATAGTGACATTTTTGCCCTTTTTAAAATAACACTGCCACTTCAATATTAGCCTTCACTTAAATAGTAATTTATTCTATGTGAAAACCAGCACAAAATTCAAAGTCATGTCCAAGAAACCATTTTACCAAGCCTCAAAAACCCACCAGAATAATAAATTTGAATGTTATAGTTAAATTTTGCACCTACTCAAAATTTTCTCAACAGTATTAAAGACACTATCATAAATATCACACAAGAACAGACAGCTGTATCAAATCAAGAGTGCATTATACACTAACAAAATCTAATTATTGTGAATTGCCCAGAAATGAAGCTGAATTTCCAAATTTCATATAGTGAAATTAAATTGTGTTTATGACACTAAACAAGTCAGTTAACCTCTTTGGATCTGTTTCCTAATTAGATAATCTCTAAATTTCTTCCCAGTTCTGTGTAAAAAAAATCTATATTTGAATGAATAAAAATATTTATTAAGGCTTTACTATGTGCAATGCACTGAATATACAAACAAAAAGAGTAAAATGGCTCCTTTTCTCAAGGAAGTCAAATTCTAATGGGAAAGACAACACATGGAAGATTTCATCTGCAAATCAGATGGAAAAGTCGATGGTCCTTACGAGTGCAATGGCCAAGCAGGCAGTAACACTTTTTTAATGTCAATACCACTGACAAAATCACTTCCAATTCCGATCACTGAACCATCAGACAGTGCCAAGGACTTTGGTGGTAAGAACTTTCTTCTCTGGGTCTTCAATAGTTGGGACCTGCAGGAGCAGTTGCCAAACTGCACTTCCATATGTGTTCCAAATTATGTCATTAACAGAGAAAAGAAATAAGGAGTGAAGTGAAAAGCCACAAAACAGACCCTAAACGTTTTTAAAGTTTCAAAATACCTTTTTATAGAAAGAAAAAAGCTTACTTAAAAGGAACCCAATACTACCCACATTTCAGTTCACAATATAAGAGTTTTCATTTATACTGTTCTTTTTAGGCACATTGCTAAATTTGTTCTGGAGGATTCATTTTTTGTGCTGCTACAATAGCACCTTACTATAATGTACCAAACTGACTCTGAAGTTTGGATCCAAAAAAAAGGAGCAAAGTTGGCTTAGGGTGTCAAGGCTGTAGCTTAGACAGATATACTCACCAGTCGTCTAGCAGTTGTACATCTTTGGCCCGCTGTCCCCACAGCCGCAAAAAGAGCCGAAGGAACAACTAAACTGAGGTCTGCATCTTCAAAAACTTGGAGCAAAAGCACACAGGAAATAGGCCAAAACAGGTAAAAAAAACAACAATGTATTTTCTTTACTGTTAACTAGAATAAACAGGAGGCAGCTAGATGGCCCAGGGGATAGAGAGCTGGTCATGGAATAAAGAAAAACTAAGTTCAAATCCATACTCAGACACTTACTAGCTGTGTGACTCCACACAAGTCAAGTAATTTGCCTTAATCCACTGAAGAAGGAAGTGGTAAATCATTCCAGTACCTTTGCCAAGAAAACCCCATAAACATTATGGTCCATGGGGTCAGAAAGAGTCAGACATGACCAAACAACAGAACAACAGCTAGAATAAAATAGTGAGCACTTAGCAACCATACGCAGAATATATAAAAGATATTTATACTCCTGTTAAAACAGGAATGTTTTTATTTAAAAATAAAGAAATCTTTCTTATTTAGAAAAAAATGGATGAGTTTATTAACTTTTTAAATCAGAAAAATATATTCCAGGGAAGAAAGGTTCTACTTAAAAGCATAGGATAACCATCACAATGGTAAATAAACCTTATGCCCCAGGGTTTAGGGATGACTGACCCCACATCAGCCTGAGTAAGGCAGCCATCCCTCTTTTAAATTGCTATTTGACAATTTCCTTATTAATTCTTACCCAGGTTCTCAGATAATTAAGGTAACACAGTTCTGCTATTTCTTAAGGTAATAAAGTTCTGCTATTTCCTCATAAACTGATAAAACTTTTACAATCACTAATTAATTAATTAGCTCTGAACTTCTACCTTGGAAAAATTTCTTTTACCAGTAGCCTTCACTCATCATTCATATAAACCTTGGTGTCATTTGTGTAGACAATTTATTAACAATGTAACTAAAACATTTAATTATTTCAACAATGCATATATATGCTATGAGAATGTTCAAAGAACACCCATAACAATCAACTTCTCCACAAAAACTGGGACCATTGTCCAAACATTCAGCTCTCTCAGAACAACAGTCAAACTCTCTCAAAAATTCTCAAGTTGACTTCTTTGAAAGAACTGAGTTTAACTCATTCTCACAGTTAAGAAATTCTCATAGTCCTCTCTCTCTGTCTCACACACTCTATCCCACAATAAGTAATATTCTGCAACAGTAGTAACTCTCTCAAGTAACATTTAAACTAACTCCTCAGGATCCTATTCCTTTTCCCTTAAAGATACAGCAACAATACCCATAGTATTTATAGAAGACTATGAAAGCTGGCATTACACTGACATGCTAGTCTTCTTTACAAATAAACATATATAAAGTTACAAATTAATTCCATTGATAGATGGACTCTTACTAAAGCTGCTCTTCACTTTCATCATAACCTCTCCATCTCAACTTACACAGCCATCTATCCCTAAACAATGTTATCTTTACCCAACCTGGACTTCACTGGTTAGCCATTTACACTACCTACTCTAGATTTAGAGAACCATAGAATCACAGAATTGGAAGTGACTTCAATCAATCCACATTTATTAAGTGCCTATGATGTGCCAGGCACTGTGCTAAGCTTGGGAACCACCTAATCTAACCCCCATCCAAAACAGTATCTCTGGCTAGTAGTCAATAAGACTTTACTTATATTAATTATTAGGAAGTTTTTCCTCATATAAAGATGAAGTCTGAGGCAATTTTGAAAAACTTTAGAACCCTGACCAAAGCAGTGACCAACCATGATTCCAGAAGATTCATGATGAAACATGCTACCCATACCCGTCACCTGACAGAGAGGTGAAGGACTCAGAGTACAGACTGAGACATTATTTTTGGACATGGTCAAGTGGGAATTTGTTGTGCTCCACCCTACGTGTTTGTAATTAGGGTTTGGTTTCTCTTTCTTTTCCTATGGGGAGAGAGAGAAGGGAAGACAGAAAGGGGAGAAGTTGGAAGGAAGAGAAAGTGGATTTGCATTGACTGAAAAAACATAAAATTTAATTAAAAAAAAATGAAGTCTGCCTACCTATAACTTTTATCTATCAATCCTAATTCTGTCCTCTAGCAGTAAGTTCTATCTCCTCAAACAGGATGAGAACAAATGAATATTAGAAACCAACTAATGGGTTCAAATCTAAAGCAATAAATAGGTCACACAAGAGATGATGAGTCTTGAGCTCTTTAACTAAAAAAAAAAGTTAATAGATCTTTTATAGTAGCAAAAAAACGTTAAGAATAATGGATGCCCATCATTTGGGGACTGGCTGAACAAACTGGCATATATGAATGCAATAGCAACTTATCACTGTAAGGAATAATGAAGGTGAAATTGAGAAAAACCTGAGAAAATTTAATTGATCATTTAATTCTTTCCTCCTGCTCTACCGTGCCTTGAATATATATACCTATTTTCTTTTCTGATCAAGCAACAGGTCTTAAAGATATGAAATATATATAGAGAGAGTTCTCATAATGAAAGAGTAGATAACTTCTTTAACTTCCTATCAACCCAGAGGGGTAATTCAGTGACTAATTTAGCTAATTTGAATAAACAAGAAAAATGCTATCATCCTTACCAATAATAGCATTATTTCCTCCAAGCTCTAACAAACTTCTCCCTTAAAAAGAACAAAAAAGTTAAGACTTACATTTGTTTTTAATGTCTCAGGGATACTCCTCCCAACAGATTTATTACCCCTTGAATAAATACATTTCTATATTTGCCTTATATTCTTCTGACTTATTCAATCTAATTTACTTAAAATAATCAAAGCTAAGTTTTATGTCAAAATACCTCTGACATACCTGTATAATTTCAGGAAAACAATCCAAACTTTCCTTCCCCTCCAAATCCCCCAGTCTCCCCCCACCCGACCAAAAGAAAAAAAAAAAGGAAAACAGTCCACATGATATGGTACTTTCTCCACCAGGACTGCACTAGATCAGCTGAATAGTTACTGAAATACTAAGTCACTGCTTAGTGACTTTAGTCATAGCAGTAAAATCAGAAAACTATGCTTACAGAGCATCTGCCATGTGCAGGACACACTAAATCTCATCAGAAGATACCAAGAAACAAAAGACATTATATCTAACTTAATATTCTTTACTTTGACCCCAGTGAATAATACCTTTCCTTTTCACTGATCCATAAGAGATCCAAAAGAAAAGCAAGGTTTTATTTCCCATTCTTCTGTAAAATCTATTCAGATCTTGTGCCTAAGATGTCAACTCAGTGAAATTAAGATAAATACTATACTATAATATATATACTATACCATAATATATACTATACATAATATATGTGCTAATATATATGTATATAATATATATACTATAATACTCCTGAGTCCTCTAGAACTTTTCCTCCATTTGTTGTTATACACCCAGATAGAATGACATTAGTAATTTGGGACAAACAGATCAATTTTTTCCCCAACTTATCTGCAACTTCTACTTACAGTCACCTAATTTAAAAAGTACTCACACTTTTTCCCAGTAAAGAGTAAGTCCTCCCTCCCAAACAGTGTCATTAATAACATCTGTCCACAGATCTGACTTTAAGCAAATAGGAGGGTCGTCTGCATAGGCAATGCAATCAAGGTGAAATTAAAAAATGTTCTTCAGGAAAAGCCTTTCTTTGGCAACCTGTAAAGTTTGCTTTGGTGTCAGCTAGACCTAAGAATTAGTAAGATAATTACGTAACCCTTTCTTTCACTTGGATGTTTCAAAATACCACACAGATTTCCAGGGAAGGAGTATAAGGGCTTTGAGAAAAGGCCACATTCAATCTTCAAAGAAGTATGGTTGCTAGAATATCCACTCACCAAACCTCTCTTGTACCATGACTGACACCAGTTTTCCCACTTGGGTGCTTCCTGTGAAGGACAGCAGATCTACTCGCTCATCTTTGGCCATTGCTGTGCTGTAAGAGAAAAGCCACAGATCTATTTTAACAGATAAAATGGAACAATAAATAATTAAGAAAAGCTTGTTCATCTGCATTCCTTCTGGTCATTCCTTGTACCAAAGAATAAAAGCAGTTCAGCAAAACTAACCAACACATCAACTGTGTGTTGCTCCACACCTCTGAAAAGAAGGGAGGAAGAATTGTTTTCTCCTATATTCTTCCAAGGCATGTTTGCTTATTATAATTAGACAATGTTCAGTTTCAGGTTTCTCTGGTGACTATTCTTTCCATTAATATTGTTGTAATCATTGTGAAGACTGTTATTCTGGTTCTGCTTACCTTTTTACTCATTAATTCCTATGTTTTTCCATGCTTCCTTGTATTCATATTCTTAACTTCTTAAAACACAGCAATATTCCATAATATTCATATGCCATAATTTTTTAGCCACTCCTCTACTGGTAGGCATCTAGTTTGTTTCTCTGCTGCTATAAATATATTAGTGTATATATAGCCTTTATTTTGTCATTGGCTTATCTGTGTTATATGCCTAGCAGTAGAATTTCTGGTTCAAGGGATATGGATATTTTCAACTGCATTTATTTAAAAATAAATACAGAAATATGTGACCTTAAAAAAATGAGGTCACATGAATTAGTGTTTATAAGTCTTCCTAGATATCTCTATGCCCATCATAAATCCAGTAATATTCCTTTACATTCATGTACCACAATTTCTTTATCCATTTCCTTTCTTCATTTCAATTTCTTAACTACTACAAAAATGTTGCTGTACATATTTTGGTGTAAATGGAAACCTTTTGTTTTTGGCCTTTTGGGGACATATGCCTAGCAAGTGATCTCTCTACATCAAAAGGTTTTGACATCTGAGTCAATTTCTTATACTCCTCACTATATCAATGGTCCTAACCCCATTATAATAAAGGATGAACCCAGTTCCTATAATGGTTTAAAGCAATATGTTCCCAAAGTTATAAGATGGTTAGTTGGAGCTTAAAACACATTTTCCTATAGAAACATTATTAGAAATAAGAGGTTTGGTTACAAAGATAGCTCATAAAATCCTATTTATTCCGTAATATATCAAAAATATGATATTTCAACAATATATTGTCATGGCTTCATTTTTTCTGGGGAAATGCATTTGATTTCCTAGGACCACCTTTCAGAATCTGAGAATTAAGGGACACTTGGACGTCATCTGAAACAAGAATTTGTTCTATAACATTTTTAACAAGTGGGTATCCTGCCTTTGCTTGAAGACCTTTAGTAATGAAGAACACATAAGTTCCTAAAGTAACCCATTCTACTTTGGAACATCTTTAAAAGTTAGGACATTTTTCCTTACATAGCATGATATTCCTTAGGTCACCTTCTCATTGAAGGAAGAACTAACATACCCAATATCAGCACCACCACATGTCATGGAACAGATTGCACCAGGTAAATTGTTGTCTTCCAAAACTTTGGCCACTATCCTAGAGAAAAGATGCATTAGCAAGTAAGCTTCTGAAACAGTTTTTTAAAAGAAAGGTCAAGCTTCCCCAAACTCCTACCTTGTTTACCCAGAATGCTGTTTCAAATGTTTATACTTGTTTTCGTTGATGTTTCTCTGGGAGTAGCATCACCAACTCATTATCTATAGATCTCTGTTCTTTCATCAGAACTCACTAATCCATGCAGCTTTCCCTTCTAGTTTCCATTCCTTAACTCATCCCTGTGAAACATCTTCTGACAGCAACAAATCCCCAAGTATAAAGATCTCACCATAAACTTGAAAAAAATTTCCAAACCTCCAGATCTCAAGAATTAAGAGTTAGCAAAAATTTTAAAAATTTAAAAATTAAAAAAATTTAAGGGGGCAGATAGGTAGCGCAGTGGATACAGCTTCAGCCTTGGAGTCAGGAGGACCTGAGTTCAAATCCGGCCTCAGACACTTGACACTTACGAGCTGTGTGACCCTGGGCAAGTCACTTAACCCCAACTGCCTCACCAAAAAGCAAAAAAAAAAAAAAATTTAATTTTAAATTAAAAAAAGAAAATCTAGTTGCTCTAATACTCATACTTTAGCCTAAGGAATAATTAATTCCTGACAGTGTCTTTGTAACCAAACACCTAAGACATCCAAACCTCTTCACCCCCTATAAACACAATACAAAATCATAGAATTTAGAATTAGAAGAAACATTAAAGATCATCTAATACAACTCCTTCATTTTTAGGAGGAATAAATCACACAGCAATATTAACTTACTATCTCAAGGTCACACAATTAGCAAGTAGCATAACCAGCTTTTTAACTCAAGTTCTCTAACTCAAAATTACATGCAAGGATATATGACACAGAGAATTAAGTGACTGATAGTTACCTAGTTCATTTTGCTTTTCCAAGAGTTTACGTCTTAAATAACAAAAAGTATTATGAGTTAAAATTTTATCTTCAAAACCACTGGATTTTTCTCTTTATCATTCACATTTCATTTTCAATCATGTAAGTAAATACTACTTAAGTAGCCCCTGCATTTAGGGAGCACTTTCTCATATGAGAGCTGTTTATTTTGCAATTAACAAAGGGAAGTTTAAACTCATTTTCAGATTTTTGCAGAATCCCAAGTTTACAGTTTTAGACAATGATGTCCACAGGCTAAGCTCCATGTTTAGATAAGTTACCTATCACATTAGATTTGAAACTCAGTACCTATCATATTTCTGTGGTTGGTATCAAACCAAAGTTCAATCAATCAACAAGCATTTATTAAGCACCTACTATGTGTTTACAGGCACTGTGATGAGCACTGGGGATACAAAAAGGCAAAAAATAGCCCCTGACCTCAAGAAGCTTACAATCTAACAAGGGAGATAATGTGCTAACAAATGTATACAAAGCAAGATATGTACAGAATAAAGAGGAGATAATTAATAGAGATAAGGCATTAGAATTAAGAAAAGTGGGGGAAGGCTTCCAGAAAAAGATGAGATTTTAGTTGACCATTAAAGAAAGCAAGGAAGTCAGAAGGCAGATTTGAGAAGGGAGAATATTCCAAGCACGGAGAACAGCCAGAGAAAATGCTGGAAGCCAAGAGTTGAGGTCTTACTCATGGAACAGCCAGAACAGTATCAACCAGTCAAAGAGTATGTGGCAGAGAATAAGGTATAAGAAGACTGAGAAGGTAAGAAGGGGCTAAGTACATGAAAGGCTTTTAATGCCAATACAATGTATTTGATCCTGAAGACAATAGGGAGCCACTGAAGTTTATTGGGGAAGGGGAATGAAGGCAAAGGGGTAGTGGGGAGAGAACAATATTCAGACCTATACTTCAGGAAAAGCACAGTTTATCATTCGGTTATCCATGTATGCAAACAAATATACTTAGTATACTTAGTAACTAGGCACTGAAGGTGGTAGGAAAAGAATACAAAGCATAGATAAACCATACCCCCTAGCCAAAAGAAATTTACATCACACATACACTTACTTTGTGACAGCTACACTAATGAGTGGAGTTGTTGGTGCTCCTTTCCTTTAGAAAAACAGAAGGAAGAAATTTAATTTTGTTCGGTCATTTGCTACAAAAAACAAAAATGAAGTCATTCATGAGAAGCAAGTCACTTCCAAAGTTATTTTTAAATGAAAATAAGTGAAATTAGTGATCAAATTAGGAATTTGCTGCTAGACTTAAGCTCTTAATGTTCCTCCAAAAGGTTCTAAGTATTCTAACTTAGAAACAACCATCACCTTCAATTCAGCTCCCATGTCTTGCCAATAGTTTCCAAGGAGACTTATTCTGGCCTTGCTGGTATAAGCTTGATTAAAAGGAAATCTTCACAGATTTCTTGTTCACAAAACACACCTGAGAAGGCTAAGGGAGGCAGATTTACTTTAGTTTTCCATATGAGATTACTCTAAGAATAAGTAAGATGGTTAAATTGATAAGAATTGATAGGCAGGTTCTAGTTCTTCCTATCTTTTCACAGAAAACTGTCTTGCTTTTATATGTAAAGATAATCTTTGAATACAAATAACAGTTACAGAAAAAAAATCACTTCTCAGCATGCAACTAGAAATAGCAGTTCAGTGTCAATTATTTTGGTAATTCCTTATTTGACTAAATTCTTTCAGAGAATATTATCAAAGTGGGTTATTGACCATTGGCAAGGTCATAAGTTCTCTAGATCTTTTTCCTTCTACAAAATGAAGAGTTTGGGCTGAATGAAAAAAAAGTACTATTATTATTTTTAATCCTGAATGTAATAAACTAATTGATAGCAATAACTGAAAGGGTGGGGAGTTCATGGGTTCAGACCAACTTTCCTTTGCCCATAGCTCCTACACCAGAAGATACACTATAAATACAGCACTTTACCTTGAAAAAGACCTGAAGTTGACTTGTGGGAGCAGGCCTCAGAAAGGCTGTAGCTGGTGAATTACTTTGAAGGGGTACAGTTTTCTACATTCTCACTGTTTCTTGAGAATGAAATTACAAATAAGTAAATGTGAAATTAGTATTCCCTAATATATCAATCCTGTTGAACAAATCCTGTTTTCAAAACAAGCATTTATAGCAGAATTCAGTGTACTTGAATTCTTTATTTCTGATTGCTTGAAGCATTTTTTTTTTACTTTGCTCTGGGAGCTCTGGATCTTAGCTTCAATATTCAAGAGAATTTTCATTTTGGCATTTCTTTCAAGAAGTGACAGGTGGATCCTTTATACTTTCATTTCATCCTCTGGTTCTAGAAGATATGAGCAGCTTCCTTTTATGATGTCTTTAAATATCTCTCCTTGATATTTTCCTGCCAGTTGTTTTTGCAATAAGATGTCTTATGTTTTCTTCTGCTTTTTTAGGCTTTTAACTTGATTTTAATATTTTTTATTATTATATGGAGTCACTGGCTTCTATTTGGTCCATTTTAATTTTTACAGAGTTTGTTGCTGGGGCAAGGTTTTATACCTCTTATGCCAAAAATCCCTTTCAAATTCTTCCTTCCATAACTTTTATTTCTTTTCTAATTTCTTCCTCTAAAGCTATCATTTTTTTTAAAAAAAACAAACTTTTGCTTCATCTCTTCCAGAAACTCTAGTTAAGCCTGTTTCCAAACTATGTTTTTCATTGTGGATTTGCTTAGGTATTTTAGAGGCATTCTTTTTGGGGTTTGTGATTTGAGAATCCCTGTCACCATAATTGCTTTTAATAGTGTTCTTTCTTTCTTTCTTTGTTCATCCTTCTAGCCTATTTCCCGATTGAACTTTATGTTAGGTCCAGGCCAAACTCTTTTAAATAAATATGAATCTATTCCAGGAGGCTCTGCAATAGTTTATGTAACCAGCACAATGGCAACTGAATACAGAAGCATTTGGAGGATTTCACCATACATAGGGTTATTTCTTTTGTTATAACTTCAAGAAATTTTGAATGATTGATGTTATAGATATGTTGTCAGAAGTGAGCCTTTAAGGTAGAGTTTTGCTTTACCAAATCCAGTGCCTTTTCTTCCTTTATTTTTTGAAAAATATTTTAATGAACCAAAATCCACCTTTACACTCTCTTACCAGAACCTTCTCTCCACAAGAAAAACAAAACCCATTATAAACATGATCGATCAAGATAATTTTCCACATTAGCCATGTCCAAAAAAAAAAAAAAACAAAACAGTCTTATTCCAATTCCTTCACTTCTCTATTAGAAGGTAGATAACATGTTTCACAAATAGACATCAGGAATCATGGCTGGTCATTACATGATACGAGTTCAGCTTAATAGTATTATATAACATTTGTATACCACAATTTACCTATTCCCAAATTTATGGTCACCCCCTAAGATTACTATTCTTTGCTACCTTGAAAAGAGTCATAAAACTTTTTATATGTCCTTAGAATTTATTTTGCTTAGGACTAATTTCTCTTTAAACTACCCTCTCTACAATTCCCCCTTACCTCTTCCCTCCTTTCCCTTCTATTTTCCTGTTTAATAAAATGTATTTATATACTCAGGTGTGTAGGTATATTTTCCCCTCCTTTGATCTGTTCGGATGAGAGTGAGGTTCAGGTTTTTATATAGCTTTCTATTTGCATATCCTGATTATGTGAGACAATTTTTTCCTAACCTCCCATTTTCTTCCTACCCAGTTGTATTCCTCTTCTCCTTTCTTCTCTGGCCTTGTGTAATTGAACTTCCTTTATGACCACTGAATTAAAACTCTTCAACTTAGAAGCTCTGCATTTGGGGATAGGACATTCCTGAGAGTTTTAATTCAGTGATTTCTTCAGGAGATGACAGTGGAGTCTTTCAATTTCTGGTTCTAAGAGATGTGGACAGTTTCCTTTTAAGATTTCTTGAAATAAGATGTTTAAGCTATTTTTTTTGGCATTCAGATGATCTAATAACTCATTTTTTTCTCCTCAATCTGTTTTCTAGGTTAGTTTTTTTTTTATAAGATATCTTCTATTTTCTTCCTTACGTTCCAGTTTTTTACTTTGTTTTTCTATTTATTCTTACTTCCTGGAATCACTGACTTCTATCTGGTCCATTATGATTTTCAAGTTTTTGTTTGTGCAAGGTTTGTCTCGTGTTAAGCTCTTAATTTCCTTTCCAATTCTTTCTTCCATAGCTCTCATCTGTTATCCAATTTTTTTCTCGAGCATTTTCATTTCATTTATAAAAACATTTTTTAACTCATTTCATCTCTTCTAGAATTCAAGTTAAAGTTTGCCCAGGTTGTGTTTTCCTCAGAGATTTTGCTTGTATGTTTTGAAGTCATTCTTATCTTTTGAGTTTGTGTCTTGAGCTTCTCGGCCACCGTAATAGCTCTCCTATGGTGGGATTCTTTTTCTTTGCTCACTTTTCAGCCTACTTCCTAATTTCAGACTTGATCTTTAGGTCTGGGCTCTTTAGCACTTCTGAAGGGAAGGTCTAGGCTGGTCCTATTACTGCTTTCTTGTATTATTTCCAGGATCTCAGGGACACCTCAGTCTAGGGACCTGCAAGCTTTCAGTGCTCCCAGAATGGTCTGATTACTGTCCCCAGGATCTAACTCTGTAAGGTCATCTGACCTGAGTTTGGGTCTGAGCAAGAGTGGACCGCTGCTAGACAGCCCCTATCAGTCAGATGAAAAGCACTTTTGGTTCAGAGTGGCAGAATTATGGGTTCCCCTTTGGTCTGGGATTCCTGCCCTGATTACTCCTCTGTAATCTGGGCTAGATGCTGGAAATGATACCCTGTTCTGCACATGGTGTACCTGGGCTCTGAGCCACACTGCTGCTAATGGCTTCTAAACTCTCTCCTTTCTTGGTTCACTTCCCAGGGCCTCCCTACCTGGGAAGACCACAGCTAGACACTGATTCTTTTCTCCATCCATCCTAGATCTGTGACCTGGAACTGAGTAGCGGGCAACCAGACTACCAGTTCACAAGTGTCCCCATAGCAGTGTCCTAGTATGTGTCTAGCGGTGTCCTGTATGGATCTGGGACCTCCGCGTGCCGTAATACACAATGAAGTGCTTGCACATATGCTCCTGGCCAGACTCCATCCCCAGTGTCTGTAGCCTTCTTCATCTGATTCTCTACACTGAGTGGGGCCAAACAAATGACTCATTATGACTGTTTTTGGAATACTACATCAGGATTCAGTCTGGAGCATTTTCTAAATCTGTTTGAAGTTTTATGGGGAGGGAACTCAGCTGTAATGCTTCCTACCACTCTGCCATCTTGGCTCTGCCTCTCAAATGCCTTTTCATAATCACCAAACAGCAGGCACAGTGACATCTTATATTCTCTACATCTTTCAATCAGCTACAAAATGGTAAATGTATTATCCAATATTAGAGTGTTTTCCACTCTTTAATATTGCTTACAAAGCCTGTCTTTTCGCTACTAATCCCCTCAAAGAGGAAGCCCTTGATTTGTGTATAGATGAATATCAGAGATTTTATACAGACTGGACAATAAACACATAGGTTGGTAGCTCGTGTTCTTGGCCACTTTTCTCAGTAGCTTTTTTGTTAAACCTCTGGCATTTTTCCCTCCCTCAGTTACCTTGTACATTGATTTCTCAACACCTTCACAATTGTGATACCTCAAATGTGAAGCACTGGCACTGTGCTAAGTATCAAAGAGAATGCAAAAAGGAATTTTGGGGTAAAATCAGTAGGGGTGAAATCAAGCATAGATAAAACAAGATACTTAAAATTATAAATATAAACAAAGCACAAGCATGCAGACAATGTTATAACCTGCATATTTGAAATCATTTAAAAAAAAAAGGGAAAAGGAAACTCTAAGTCCTACCAAAGGCAGACATTCCCACAAATCAGAGCAATGGCATTATTCCAGCCATACACAGCCACTGGGAAATTGAATGCAGTGATGATTCCAACTAAGCCCAAAGGATTCCACTGTTCAATGAGGGCATGGCCAGGTCCTGAGTGAGAAGAATAAAGACCCCAAATTAATAACCACTGTAAAGAAAGCTTTACATGATTCCCTCCAACTGCAAGGGCACAACCTCCCTAACTATTTTGGAAGCATAACCCCATTTGAATTGAAATATTAAGGAATAAATATTTCTGCAGTCTAAATAAGGAAGGAAATCTTATGAGTACTTAAACTTCTCAGGAAACAATGCCCTCCTCCACTAATGCCCTCCATCCTTTTTCTTAGATCTAATCACTTTCTCTTAGGAAAGTTATAAAAGGTCTATAAGAAAAGCTAAAGCCCAAGAAAATGGATTACAGGTGGTAACCAGACACAGACCAAGAAATAACTTCCATTAAGTTTAGATTGTTGCTTTCCTCTGAAGGCATCAGAGTAATGACCCACCAAATGATAGTACACTCTTTCCCCATTTCCTAAAGAATTAAAATATTGATATGTGAGAAGAAGTTTTTTTGATTACTTTGGGGCAGGGATGACTAGTCAGGGGAGAGCCTTTGAAGTGAAAGATCAGAAAAAGAGTTCTTTTAGCAGGATAATTCTTCAGGGGCTTTCCCGAAAGATTTCAATGCCTGCTGCTCTAGTACATGAAAATTTACTACCCTGAAACTGTATCCTATACAATAATATGAATTGTACTCTATTCAAGATTCAAATAAATGTTGCTTCAAAAATGTCTTAGGTCAGATGTCATGTTAGAGCATGAAAGAACTCACATCATAGCAACAGTAGATGTACTTTCTAATTTTCCAGATCAAAATTTTTAAATACACATGTTCTCAAATGGAGAGAATTAATTAACTATCAAGTAACAAGAGTCCAGCTGATAAACACATAGTTAAGCATACACTAACTACATATGAAGAGTTTTCCCCATTCTTTTGAGCAAGCAGATTAATTACACATTCAAATATGATGGTATCTCTGGTAACTCTGTATCTTCCTAAGCAACTCAATTTATTTGTTAATCTGATGATTTTACTGGAAAGATGTATGATTGTAGTTAGTAAATTTTATGACAGTTTTTTACTTGCTTACTTTCTGAAGGCAAGATGGGTCCTCCAATCATTCGTGATAAACCAACAGCATAATCACAGATATCCACATACTCCTGAACTTCTCCAACACCTTCCACTAAGATTTTTCCCATCTCCAAAGATACCTGAAAATAAAAATATGTATGTATATACTAATTTTTAAAATTTTAAAACATAAATGAATCTTTCAAACTTCATAGCTTTAATAAAAAAAACCACCTAGAAAAGAGAAAGCAATCACATATTAAGCAAGGATACTATAAAATGGAATGAAGCAGAAACAAAAGAAAGACAAGAAAGGCAAGATTATGAAACCTTTTTTCAGGACCGAGTAAAAGATTTGAAGACTAAGAGACAGAGGAAAGTTTACCAAATACTTACTAAGCACCTACTAAGCATCCCTAAAGCATAGCATTAGGTATTAGGAAGAGGTATATGTTAGGGTCTAATACAAGGGTGGGGAACATGCAAATCCAACAAGATTTGTTCTGTGAAGTTTAGATTCAGTCAAAGGGCCGCACTTGAGGACCAAGAGAGCCACATGTGGCCTCGAGGACACAGGTTCCCCACTCCTGGTCTAGTAAGTATAAATACATATTAAGGTCTAGTTCCTACCCAAATGGACCATACAATATAGTAAGGAGATAACATATACATAGATAACTATAACACAAAACAATACAAATCTTAAGTATACAGGAGTGCAACAGACAAGATGAAAGGTCTATAAGGCCAAAAGCAAAAAAAATCACTAAATGAACTTTTGATTTCTTCTAGATTCATGCCACTGAATTCTTTTAGAAGGAGAAAGTCTTTTAATGAGGTAGCCGTTTTTCCGTTTTTAAAAGTACACTTGAATGAAATTCAAAATAGACACACTTTATATCAAATCTTGTGTTACAGCTAATAAGTACTACAGCAAGTTCTAATACATTCAACTTAATATGCTTTTTTCCTTATTTATTTATAATGAGTATATCAGTAGGCAAGAAATCAAGTTTTATTTCTGTAGAATCAATTTCAAAAGATCAAAATATTCCATTTTATGTTTCCCTACCCATTTTGTTACTATCTGATCCACAAAGTCCACTTTAAAATTATGATTTGTTTGGCTTTTAAAAATTACTCTTACATAAAATAGCAACACAGTGCAGCTGTAGGCTGGTTGTTTTTTTTTAAAGGCACATTTACTTTTAAAATACCTTACCAAGTTTCCTAAGATTTGGATCTTCTGTCGCAAGGCTTCGCCAATCTGTCTTACTATTTCTCCTCTTTTAGGGGCTGGAATCTAAGTAAAGAATGAAACTTTACTGACAATTTAAAAGGTAAAAGCACTTAAAATTGAGCAGCACATCAAATCTGTTACTGCAGTAAAATCCAAAGCATCAGTGATCTGAAAGCTTTTCAAAGGAATGCTAACACTCCCTACCCGCCACTGCCAGAGAGGGAGAAAAAGTTTTTATGTAACTGATCACAATCTGTGTAGAACTCGGGCACTTTTTTACATGTAATTAAGAACTGTGATATCAAAATATTCATTAACTTATAATACTTCTGAAACCTTATTTACTTAATGACAAACATATATTTTGCTTAGAGTAAAAAAAAGTATCAATCTACAAAACACTTTATAGAAAAATAGATAGGTCTAAATTAAAGGAAAAATATTAATTATTCTTGGTTAGACTGAGTCAACATATTAAAAATCACAATTCTATTTTTATCATACCACTCAAGCTACCAAAGGATTACTTTACAAAACAAGAAAAAATAATATTAAATTCATCTGTAGAAGCAAAAGGTTGAGAATCTCAAAAGTAATCAATCATGAAAAAACACGGCAAGGAGAGAGATCTATCAGTACCAGATCTCAAACTATTTTTAAGCAATAATTATAAAATTATTTGATCTGGTTAAAAAACAGAGAAAATAATGAGTGGAACAGATTAGATACAAAGCATACAGAAGAAAACAAACACAGTAATATAGTTGTCAATAGACCCAAAGACTACAGTTATTACTTGATAAAAACCAAAGGGAAAACAAAAACAGAAATTAAGTATTAACCAACCATCTCACATAACACACCAAGAGCCAGATGGATACATGTGGTAAATGTAAAAGACAACACCATAAGCAAATTAGAAGAGCGTGGAAGAAATTATCTTTCTGATGTATGGATAGGGAAAGAATTCATGACCATAGAAGGGAGAGGATCACAGAAGATAAAATGAGCAATTTTGAATATAAAAGATTGAATAAACTTTTTTTTTGCAAAAACAAAATCAATGCAGCTAAAAAAGAAGAGAAACAGAAAACTGGGGTAAAAATCTTTGAGCAAATTTCTCTTATTAAGGTGTCATCTTGAAGATATACAAGGCACAGATTCAAATTAATAAGATTAAGAGCCATTAACGAATACATAAATGGCCAAGGGATAGAAGTTTTCAAAGAAATCCAAATTACCAAAAGTTATGTGAAAAAAATGTTGCAAATCACCAATTAAAGAAATGCAAATGAAAGCAATTCTGATGTGATCAACAATGTTAAAAGCTATAGAGAACTCAAGAAGGATGAGGACTGGAAAAAGGCCATAGATACGGCAATTAAGAAGAGATCACTAGTAACTGGAGAGAGCAGTTTTGGTTGAAAGTCGAGATCAACAGCCATATTTTAAGGAGTTGAGAATGAGAGGAACTGAAGCAGAGGCACCCATTGTGGACAACATTCTCAAGGAGTTTAACCACAAAGGGAAAATGCGACATGGGACAATAGTGGAGCTGGAAGTGAGGGGATGGATGAAACATGGCCATGTTTGTGGGCAGTGGGAAAGCAAAAAATGGACAGGAAGAGATTGAAGCCAAGTGAAAGTGGGGAGAGAAGGGACAATATGCTAGAGAAGAGGGAATGCAATGAAATCACTTGTGCAGGTGGACAGGTTTGCCTTGGCAAGGAGTAAGGCCACCTCTCAACGTGAGATGGGGTAGAGGAGACAGTGGTAAAAAGGCATCTGAGCAGTAAGAGGTAAGGAAGAGAGAAGAGGAAGCTGTCATGGAATGGCCTCAATTTTTTCCGTAAAATAGGAGGGAAGGATCTCAGCTGAAAGGGTGGAGGTAGGAGTTATGAGAGTTTTGAGGAGGGATGAAAAGTTTTAGCAGAACCACTACAGAGAATAAGACAGTGAGTTGATAAGGGAGGATTGTCTAGTAGCAGTGAGGGCCCAGTTGAGGTTATATAACATACAAATGAAGTGGACCCAGTCAGAATGACTGTGTGATTTTCTACACCTTCGTTAAGTAGCACATGAGTAGGAGTGAAGGCAGATGCTGAAAGTGATTCAAGACTGAGGCCTGGCAGGATACAACTGGTTATGTGATAATGGGACCTGAAACCACAACAAAGAAGACAATGCAGAGTTGAACTGTTTGATCAAAGGGTCACGGTAGGGAAAGGAAGAGAGAGTGGCCACTACAGGGTCATGGCCTGGGAAAGAACTCAAGAGACTGGAGATCACAGTGAGTATATAGAGTAGTGTTTGGTATGGAAAGGCAATAGGAAAGATGGAAAACCAATACACTGTTATCAGTTAAGACAATTTCAAATATCTTTTTTTTTCTCCCTCCCTCTTCACCCTGCCTTAGAAAAGGCTACAATTAAACACAAATATATGTGTATATGTATATATAAATATATATATGTAAAATCATACTATTAATTATCAGTTCTTTATCTGGAGGTGGATAGCATCTTCCTCCACAGGTCCTTTGTAGTTGGTTTGAGTATTTATAATACTCAAGATGAATCAGCCATTCAAAGTTGTTCTTAAGACAAAATTTCTCTTACTATGTACAATGTTCTCTTGGTACTGTTTATTTCACTTTTCCTTATTTCATGCAAGTCTTCCACATTTTTTTTTAAAATCAACTGGCTCATCATTTCTTATAGTTCAGTCATATTCCATCACAATCACATACCACAACTTGTTTAGCCATTCCCCAATTGAAGGACATCTATCCTGTTAGCCAATCTGATAGGTGTAAGATGATATCTCAAAATTGTTTTAATTTGCATTTCTCTAATCAATAATGATTTATAGCATTTTATATGACTATATATAGTTTGGTTTTCTTCACCAAAAAAAATTGCCTGTTCATATCCTTTGACTATTGGGGAATGACTCATATTCTTATAAATTTGACAAAGTTATTTATATATTTAAGATATGAGACCCTTACCTGAGAAACTGTCTATAAAAATTTTGTCCCAAGTGGTTTGCCATTTCCTTTTCCAGCTCATTTTACAGATAAGGAAACTGAGGCAAACAGCATTAAGTGACTTGTCCAGGGTCACATGGCTAATAAATGTCTGAGGTCAGATATGAACTCAGGAAGATGAATCTTTCTGACTCCAGGCCCAGTATTCTATCTACTACACCACCTGAGCTTCCTACCTGCCCTTACTTTAAGGATAGGGAATCTGTTTTCTAAACTCATTTCTTTTGTTGTTATTCAGTCACATCCAACTTTTGGTGACTCCATGGACCATACTGTCCATAGAGTTTTCTTGGCAAAGATACTGGAGTAGTTTGCCATTTCCTTCTCCAGTGAATTAATGCAAATAGGGTTAAGTGACTTGCCCAGGGTCCCACAGATAGTAAGTGTCTGAGACCCCATTTGAACTCAGGTCTTCTTTAGTCCAGGCCCAGCACTCTATCCACTGAGCCACCTAGCTGCTTAAACTCATTTCCAGCTGCAATAATTAATTTTTTTTATTTTTGAGTAAAACTTCCCTTGAAATACTTTGTCTGTACTAAACTACAGAGAAATTGGATTAATCCATGATAGGTAGAAGGAAACTAGTGCAGACATGAAAGCTTACTTCTAGTTCAAGGTTTCCCTTCACTGATAAGCTAATGATATGAAGATAATATTAAGTGTGTGTACATGTGTATACCGATTATTTTCCTAAATATATATATACTTACATACATTTTTGCATTTTAATTTATATATTTTATTATTAGTTGCTACCACAGCCACATGACTGTTACTGCCTAGTGCTGAACTCTCTCTTGCCTCTCAAAAGCCAAAGGCCAAGTAAAGGTTGTACCTGCTGCATGCCCCGACATCCAATAATCACCATCTCTTAGGTTTTGCTTGCTTCCTTTTCCAACCACTACCTCCCACCTAGCTAACAGAAATTCAAAAGAAGTGGTAATGTATACGGCAGGTTTAAAATTGAGCAAGCTGCTGAAAATACAATTTTAGCTATCAGTCATTATTCTGAGGGCAGAAGCAGAAACAAAATACGATCACAGTTTCTGAAAGGATCCCAGTAGTGAAGATGTGGAAAGAACCCTGGACTTGGAGTCAAACAACCTGGATTCGAATTCTACTTACTATCTGTGTGACCTTGGGCAATGCACAATCTGGGTCAGTTTCCTGGTCTGTAAAACCAAAAGAATGTGACTAGATGGCTTCTAAGATCCTTCTAATTCTAAATCCAAGATCCTCCACCCAGTGACCCTTAGTACAACTATTTCTGAATGAGCATTTTGTCTAAAATATACCTGACAAGTGACATTCAGCTTCTGCCTGAACACCTCTTGTGAGGGGACATTTGCTATATCATCTTACCTTCCAAGGAAGGAAACCTATTCCACTTCTAGACAGCTTAACCATTAGAAATTTTTTCCTTAAAATAATCCCAAATTTTCATCTTTGTAATTTCTACCCACTATTCCTAGGTCTGTCCTCACAGAAAAAGCAATCCCTCTTGGACATAAAAAGTCCACAGATATTTGAAGAGAGAGCTACCAAGTATGCCTCTCTAAGTCTCCTGATCTCTGGACTAAATATCTCCTACCTAGCATTCATTCTATGAAGATATTTTTTTTTGCATGTAAAAGTTTAGCCAAGCACCTTATCAAATAATGTAGTGTTGTTTTTCCTTGTAGTGTTGTTTTTCCTGGTCTACATATGTACCTTATGTAAATCTTTACATATGCAAAAAAAAACGATGTCAGCACAAAATTTTCACACATTATTTCTTTTCACATGTTTTCATTTAATTATTAGCAGTATCCAGCAGTATCCATCTTTGGATACTGTTCTACCCATTTAGGAAAAGTAAACTTAGCTTAAGCAATTCTAAGTCAAGAACACAATCGGTCATGTAAAGTAGGACATTAAAGTCTAATTTCTACATGAAGCTGGTTAAACAAAAGTTCAGCAAAGTTATACAAGTTTACTCACTAGTGCTGTCTGATGAAATAGCTACATCTAATCTATAACTGTTCTTGGATCCAATTCTTTTATTAACTGTAGAATCTCCCCATCATCATAACAATCTTCCACCCACACACTTCCTTTCACAAGGTTCTCTAGCCTGAGTAACTGTAAATAAATAGTCCCCAAACTACCTCTTGGGAGCAGATAACAAAAGATTTGTGAAAGATCAGTTCATTTCAGAATCTCATCCTTTTTTTTTAATCTTTCTTATGCCACAGGATCATACTATCAAGTCTAGCACAGGAAGGAGACTCAAAGAAGCCACCTAAATTCATTTTATTTTTTTTTTAAGGCAATTGGGGTTAAGTGACTTGCCCAGGGTCACACAGCTAGTAAGTGTCAAGTGTTTGGTCTAAGGCTGAATTTGAACTCAGGTCCTCCTGACTTCAGGGTTGGTGCTCTATCCACTGCGCCACCTGGCTACCCTCCTAAATACATTTTAAAGATGAGGAAACTGAAACCCAGGAAGATTCAGTGATTTGCCCAAGATCACACAGATAGTATGTATCAAAAACAGAATATGAACCCAAATCCTCAGCTATAGTGCCAGGGCTTCTTCTACCACTTTACCACAACTTCTCCTTTTGAAAAAGTCATGTTGACTTGTCCTAGCCTGCAAAACAACCTCTAAGTGCTATCAAGCACAGTAGTTAACACTTGCCTCAGGCCACTCTAGTATCCAGATGACTCACCAAGGAAGGACAGATTTGTAATAATCACTATGGAAGGACAGTTTAACACAACACCTTTAGGAGAATTATAGTAAAGCTGGGATTCTTCCCTACTTAGAAAAGTAGATTTCATTTCCTCCAAAATTAGGTTACCACAGCATCCCACTGAGCCAGAGACTTTTTAATCACTGGTTGTCAAAACTACTCCAACCTACCCACTTAATAAGAACATTTCATTAACCTTCCTACTTTGCTCTCACAACACACTCTAAAAAGAAAGGTAGAAGCAAATGAATCATGTTAATTGAGATTACTTACATCTGCCCATATCTTCCAAGCTTCTTTGGCTTTCTTTAGTGTTTCTTCATAATCCGCCAGATTGGCCTGGTGGAAGGAATAACCAGGAAGGGGGCAAGCAGGAAGAAAGGCAAAAGGAAAGGTAACTAATAATCACTCAGACAAAATGGATGTATTTTTATATATAAGTGGGTGCATTATGTGTGTGTGTGTATAAGATGAGAACAAGTGTATTTTACATACATATATTTTATATGTGTATATACATGTTTATCTGTGTACATATATATTGCATACATGTTTGTATGCATATACACACATACGTAAATACATATGTATTCCCATTTTTCTAGGATGTTTTAGGTAATATTTCCCATCTCTGCAAAACAAACAATTTTACAGACCCCAAAGATATATGCTGAGATGAGGTTTTTTTAATAAAATAACTTTCACTTTCCCATTCCTAGTCTTGACACTTACCTCATTCAAAATAAAACAGATCACAAAGTAATTCATAGAATATGACCAAGTTCTCTCTAACGTGTCTAGTTCTTGTATGGCCTACCAAAAGAAGAGCCTATCTCAAACTATTTGCTAAATAGCATACATTTAACAAACATTTATTAAACATTTATTAAGCACCTACATTAAGGGAAATACCAAAAAAATAGGTGAGATGAAAAATACGCATACACATGGTAAATACATAGCAGATACATGGAGTATTTCATTTTAAAAAGAAAGTTCATTTTTAGCTGCAGAATGGAAAGGAAATTAGGGAATGCTTCACATCAGATTATAGCCAAAAGAACATTTATTTCTTTTTTTATTGATTTATTATAAATTTAAACCTCAATATTACCTTATATTTAACTCATTTGCAATTATTTACAATCAAATAAATAGATTTCAATGCATGAAATTTCATTACTTTTGAGTCACTTCCTCAAAGCTGTTTGTCCATTCCCATTCACTTTTCCTCTCATGAAGCTATTAATATAGTTTTGCTGTTTTAAAAAATTTTTTTAAGTCTTTCCACATTTCTTATATTTATTGTATTCCTCATATTTGTTAGTCTTTTGTTGGTCTTACTTGCTTTAGCACAGCAATTCAAAAAGTATGGTTCAGGGACCCCCTAGTGATCTCCCAGACCCTTTTCAGAGGGTTTACTGACTAACAAACATATCAAATGCTTACTATATGTCTCAGGCATTATGCTAATCCATAGATACAAAGGCAAAAAAAAAAAAAAAGGCAAAATACAATTCCTGATCTCAAGGAACTCACTGTCAAACAGGGGAAACAACTTGCAAACAATTATGTACAAATAACCTATACACATAATAAATTAGACATAATCAACAGAGGGAAGGTACTAACATTAAGGAAGATTGGGAAAGGCTTCCTGTAGAAGGTGGGATTTTAGCTGGGATCTGAAGGAGGCCAGAAGACAGGCAGCAGAGATGAGGAAAGAGAGCAATCCAAGCATGGGGGACAGACACTGAAAACTCCCAAAGCTGAGAGATGGAGTGTCTTGTTCAAGGAATAACAAAGAAGTCAGTGTCACTGGATCATAGAGTACAGAGAAGACATAAGATGACCGGAAAGGTAAGAAATACCAGGTTATGAAGGGCCTTGAACACCAAAAAAAAAAAGAATTTTATATTTGATACTAGAGGTGACAGGGAGGGGCTCCACTGGAGTTTACTGAGGATAGGTACCAAACTGTGCTTGAGGAAAATAACTTTGACATCTGAGTAGATGATATGGACTAGGGAAAAATTTGTGATAGGGAAATCAACTAGCATATTATTATAATAGACCAGGCATGAGGTGATAAAGTCCTACACCACAGTGATGACAGTATTAGAGGAGAAAAGGGGGTATATGTGAGAAATGTTAAAAGGCATCAAAAGTACCATTTTAAGTTCTATTACAGCAATTATCAGTACATATAAATAAAAGCCCTTTGGGAGGTCCCCAATATTTTTTAGAAGTATAAAGGGGTCCTAAGATCAAAAAGTTTGAGAATCACTGCTTTAGATTCTATTGCATTATCCACCAAATGAGATGACATACATATATATACACACACACACAAACACACCACTTTGTACACCTTAAAGCTAAATGCTTATACCTTAAATGCTAGTATTATTATTATTATTATTATTACCACAATTTAAGCACTCTCCTTCTTGTGACACAGTAAGGTTAATTTCAGTTTTTTGCAATTACAGTTAAGAAAATCTTTTAAAAGCCCTATCCAATTTTTGTTAGTACTATCAGGGCATATTTCCAATAATGGAATTACTGGGTTAAAGAATACGGTTAGTTTTGTAACTTTTACTGTGTTGTGAACTGCTCTCCAGAAAGATTTTACTACTTTAATTCTTTTTTCCAATGAATGCCTCAACTATTTAATTTATGTTAATTAGTGAGGTACGTTGTACAGTTTTCAAAAAGGTATTAACAATTTGCATTTTCCCATTTGAAAACTGACATTCATATATATTTTTACCATTTCACTATTTTAGAGTTACCTCTGTAAATTTTGTTAAAGTTTTTATGTATTTGGGATATTATTTTTATATTTGTTAAATATTTCAAAAATTTCATTTATACTGACATATTGTACAGAATTGTTTTATTTATTAGCTGCCCAGAGGTAGCTATAGGTGGTGAAGTACAGTATGCAAATGTGGCCTCAGACACTTAGCTGTGTGACTCCAGGAATATAACTTAAGGTCTGTCCACCTCAGTTTCATCAACTGTATCTCCCAGGAATGTTGTGAGGATCAAACGAGAAAATATTTGTAAAACAGCCATGCTTAAAAAACATTTGTTTCCTTTCTATTAAAGCATGCCTATCTTATTCAATTTGTTTAATAGAAACAAAGTTATGAGATAAATAATTTACTCTAATTTCTTCCATTTTCATTGCATTTTTTCAACATTAAGTTAGAATTCACTAAATTATATGCTGTGAGATAAGTTCAAATCTCCAACCAAATGACTAAGCTAATTTTCTCCAAATGCAAAATTTACAAAATAAATCCTTTTCCTAATTTTTATGTTCTCTGGGGTTTAACTAAAATAGTTATCCTTTGCATACATTTTTTGGAATGCCTAGTATCGCTAGCCTATTCTCTTGCTCTAGTTATCTATTTTTTTGCCCAGTAAAAGATAACACTTTTAGTTCTTAATAAATGCCAAATTTAAAAAAAAATATTAGTATCATGCTCTGCTTTGAGTATTTTCAATATTAATTACTATATGCCCTGAATAAGCCTAAAGAATCTCATACACTCAAAAAGAAAGAATAAACTAATGGTACACTTACCTGACGGACTCTTGCTATAGGCTCATTGTTAGCTGGGCAGTAACTTGTAACAACCTTTAAAAAAAAAGTCTGTCTGGTTAGATTATGCTATCCAAAAAAAGATAAATCGGTGGAATGGGGGTGAAAGAGGGAGTGTAAATCCAAGACTTTGAGAAAAAACAACAAATGCAATCTTAGGCATCTGGAGTAAGTTTTCCCAGACTTATCTGCTGGAATTACTTATCAGCCGTTCTTATCGAAAGCACTGATTATTTGGTCTTTCTGGAAGGTTTTAAACATAGTACCTAGCTTTTAAGTTCAGTTTAAAAACACATACGCTCCCAAGATGCCTCTTACTTTCCTTTTTAGTGTTTAATCCTAATTATGCAAGAAGCATCTTAGCCCAACCTCATCATTTTTACATAAGAAAAAATTAAGTCCTTGGGAAGCTGTAACACGCCCAAGGCCATGACGGCCTTTGAGCAACAAAATGGAATTTTGAACCCAGGTGCTCAAATTGCTGCTTCACGCTGGGAATTTTGCAACCTTAGGGCTGCTCTCTTTGAAAAGAGGGTAATAACTATCCTCCCACTTCCGTCTCATAAAAGAAAGCATTTGGGGTTCAATAAGTCCAAAAAGACCTTTTTTTTTTTTTAACGTTAAGCACTTCTGAAAAGAGGCATAAAAATTCCCTATGGTTCTTTCTAGAGCATGTGTTCTTTCTAGAGCATTTCACAGCCTAAGATCCATACTAAGGCTGAAAAAGAACTATTTTTTTAAGTAGGACTATTGCACACAGATCCTTCCGCAAAAACTTGGGTTTGCACTAAATTTAAATAAATGTCTTCCTATGGATTCAAGACCCTAAAATTTACAGAGGTTAAAAAAAGGTACGATCATTACAATGACATTACAATAACAAAAACTCAAATGATATTTATAATGCAACTACAACCCAAAAGAACAATGATTTTTTGCAAAACAGAAGTCATGGCCTCCCGACCGTTCTCGACCATCAAGGATCAGATTTCCATGAGCTCCTCGCTTACCTCCCCTCTTCCACCCCAGGTCCCATTATACACGCCTTCATTTTCTTCTTTGAGTCCCAGATCTTTCAACCAGGAATACTGGGGCTGATTGATCAGCAAAGTAGACATAAGGGCAGCAGGTTTGTGCCAATATCTTAAGATGTTCGTCCTTCCTAGAACGATTTGCCGAGAAAGAGAAAAGGTTAGGGGTAGCATAAGGAACAGATGAAGTCTGTAAACCAAGGAAGCTGTTAAAGGAAACCCACCCCTGGCCCACGAGGTTCCAATTGGTCAGCCCAGAGCGCCGCCTCCCTCGCACATCTGGCCAAATCGGCTTTTTCTGAACTCGCTCAACAAGATTTTGTTCTTGCTGAGAAAATCTGAGCAGAAAAACTGCAGAGATTCCAAGAGAAAATAAATTAGTTACTGCCACCTACCGTTTAGAATAATAAAGCACTTAAAGGTATTTCAAAACCGAGGGACTGTTTCCGGCCACGCCCCCCCAAAAATTTGGTATCAATCAACAAGTCTTTAAATATTAAGTGCCTACTATGGGCCTGGCATCAAGTCAAGCTTTGGATACAAAGAAAGGAAAAAAGAGCCCCTTCCCTCAAAAAACTTGTATTTCTAATAGGGAAGATAACATGGAAGTAACTAGAAAGATACAAGATATATACAAAGTAAATGGAAGGTAACCTCAGATGATAGGCTCTGCCTGAGGGAGGGTGAGGACCAGGACGTACCTCCTGCAGAAGGTAAGATCAGAACTTAATCCTGACTGAAGCTAATAGCTCTAGATGCTGACTGGAGGAAACCGCGTGTCCAGGCATGAGGAACAGCAGCTGCAGAAGCTCAGAGATGGAGATGGATTGTCCTGTTTAAGAGACATCAGGTAGGACAGAAAAGATCGTACAGTGGGTAGTCAAGAGTAAAGTGCAAGAAAACTGAAAAAGTAGGAAGGGGCCAGATTGTGAAGGGCTTTAAATACTAAATGAGATTTTATTTTTGAAGTGATAGGGAGCTACTGAAATTTCTGATTAGGGGAGTAACATAGACGTGTGTTTTGGAAACTGAATGGAAGAGATTTTGGGAAGGGAAATTTCAATAGTGCAGGCAAAAAGCGATGAGGCTTGTACTAGAGTGATAGCCTTATGACTTTAAAAAAAGGGACACATATTAGAGATGTTGTAAAGGTAGAAACTACAAGACTTAGCAATAGATTGGATATGTTGGGTGAGTGAGATTAAGGAAGCTAGAATGACACCAAGTAGTGTGGGACCTAGCATCTAGAAGTTGTTGTTTTGAGGGGTAGCTAGATGGTGCAGTGGATAGAGCACAGGACCTGAGTTCAAGTTCGGCCTCAGATATGTAACACTTACTAGCTGTGTGACCGTGGGCAAGTCACTTAACCCTGTCGCCTAAACCAAAAAAGAAAAGAAAAGAATTTGTTGTTTTTTTTACATCTTACAGATGAGGAAACTGAGGCAAACCAGGTTAAGTGACTTGCCCAGGGTCACACAGCTAGTATCTGAGAATAGATTTGAACTCATGAAAATGAATCTTCCTGATTCCCAGTCCAGTGCTCTTACCTGTGTTCAAGTTCAACCTCAGGCAATTACTACTTGTGTGACTGAAAATTGATCCTGAGATTGATGTAGCCTTCGTGGCAACCTTGTGAGTTTGAGAAGAGGGGAACTTCTGGATCCAGATGCTGGCTATTCAGCGGGAAGTAACCTTTAAAACAAATTCTCTGAAGAGAAAATTACCATTTCTAGAAATATAATCCCAATTCATTCCCTAGCTTCCCAGAAGATATGGATGTTAAGTGATTTGCTTGGACAGAGTAGAGTTGAGCTAAATGCCTGTTCTACGGTCCCAGAAATTGTTTCACTCAATAAATAAACATTTATTGATTACCTACTATGTGCCAGGTGCAGGCATTGTGCTAAGTGCTGAGAATACAAATAAGAAAAAGAAAGCTAGTCCCAGTCCTCAAGGAGTATGATCTAATTGGGGAATACAACACATAAATGGAAGCTGAAAATCCATGCAGAATAGTGAGAGAAGGTACTCAGCAGGAGTGGAAGCATGCTTGGAGGTTTTATTTCGTCTTCTAAGTATCTACTCGCCATGAGAATTTCATGTATGATGGGTTCATGCAAGATGTTTTAAATATTTGTAAATGTTTGTCTTTTGTGTTTTAAGCATGTTTTTTGTGGTGGAGGAAGTAAAGGGCTGTCCTGTAGCTGATCTACTTTGTACATTAACTACCTTTATAAAGAGGACCCCATTAATCCATTTTGAGAAGACGCAAGACATGAATCAATCCTAAATTTTAAATAAGTTTTCCTAGAGCTCAGGGGTGGTAGCATAATGAGCCAAAAAGTATAAGGGGGAAAAGCCTGACTCCCATGTCTTTGGGGTTGGACTTTTCACAGGACTGAACTCAGTCTCTGTGATCTGGGGTCTCTTAGTGGATCATGATGTCCCTTTCCCCATTCAGTTATCCATATATTTTATGTACTTATTTGTGTACATGTCATGCTGCAACCTCCTTCCAGAATATCTGCCTCTAGAATACCATGAACACTCAATTGGGTATGGAAGTCTATCTTACCCTACAGGAAAATGGGGGGGGGAAGAAGGGGGGGATCATAAAGGGGAGTGCAGATTGGGGGAGGGGGTAATCAGAAGCAAACACTTTTGAGGGAAAGACAGGGTCAAAAGAGAGAATAGAATAAATGGGGGGCAAGATAGGATGAAGGGAAATACAGTTTTTCACAACATGACTACTATGGAAGTGTTTTGCACGACTACACATGTATAACCTATATCAAGTTGCTTGCCTTCTCAATGAGAATGGGTGGGGAGGGAGGAAGAGAGAAAATTTGGAACCCAAAGTTTTAAAAACAAATGTTAAAAAAATTGTTTTCACATGCAACTGGGAAATAAGATATATAGGACATGGGGTATAGAAATCTATCCTGCCCTACAAGAAAATTGAAGGGGAAGGGGATAAGAGAAGAGGGGAGAAATAGAAGGAAGGGCAGATTGGGGGAAGGGGTATTCAGAATGCACATTGTCTTGGGGTGGGGGGAGGGATGAGTTGGGGAGAAAATTTGGAACTCAAAATCTTGTGGTAGTGAATGTTGAAACTAAAAATAAATAAATTAATAAATAAAGAATATCTGCCTCTAACCAAAATTCATCAGCTATCCTTGAACCACCACTCAGATATTCATTCTATGCTTTCTCTTATTTCACCCGAAGATATTCTATGCTATTGGCCCTGGTTTCAAAAAAAAAAAAAAACTGATAGGAATCTCTGATAACTTGACACATACGATTCCATAGAGTTGTGCAGTGGTTTACCAGAGGTGTCAGATTAAGGACTGCATGCTGCATGTGGCAAGCAAAACACCAGAGAGAAAGATGAACCAGATTAGAATAGAACTGGAAAATGTTTAATAAAATAAATAAAAATACAATACAGCATAGATGATGTTAATTAACGTTGTTCTAAGTCAAAATGCAGCCAGCAAGGATTCTTTTCTATTTGAGTCTGACACTACTGGTTTAGCCAGTCATGCTCATGCTCCTCCACAATTTCTCTCCCCTTTCCTTCCCCCCCTTCTGTGACAATCTCTACTGGTCATATTTGGGTTCAAAAACTCAACTCTCCAAGTACAAAATAGAGGAGTCAAGGTTAGACATCAGTTTCTCTGAATATGATCTGGGGGTTTTAGTGGTCTACCAACTCAATATGAGTCAGAAGTGTGATGTGACAGCCCAAAAAAGCTGATGGCTACAATAAGACAAAACCAACTTCCAGGAATAAGGAAGCAATAGTCATTCTAGTTTGCCCTAGTCAGACCACATCTATAATGTTGTATTCATAGAATCATAAATTTAGAGCTGGAAAGAATTTCAGAGGATACATAGTCCAACCTCCTTAATTTGCGGATGAGGTAACTAAAGTAAGTGACTTGCTTAAGTTGAGGCAGATTATAAATATCAGAGGTGTGACTTCAACCCGGATTTTCTGATTTCAAAGTCAGTGATCTTTCCATTACCCCATACTGCCTTTTGGTTCTGGGTACTACATTTTAGAAAAATTGTTGATAAGGTAGAGAACAGTGAGAATAGTAAAGGGTCTTGCATCTCTATCATATGAAGGAAATTGAGGTATTTAACCTACAGAAGAAAAGACTCAGGAACATGATATCTGTGTTCAAGTATTTAAAGGTCTATCACATGGAAGAAGTATTAAACCTATCCTGGTTGGCCCCAAAAGGCCAAGAGCATTGAAAAGAAGGTGCAAAGAGGCAAATTTAGACTTGCTGTCATGAAAAATTGCCTAACAATTAGAATGAATGCTTGTAAATTACATAAAAACCAGAGAATCCTTGTTGCTCTGTAGCAAAAAGCTTTGGGGGTTTTTTGAGCTTTCTAGATATTCTCTTTTTTACATCATGACGCTTACCTAAAATACCTCTCTCTCCCCTCGACCCTTTTCTTTTAAAAATTAAAAATTATTAAGCAAAGTCATCAGACAAAATGACCATATCTGAGAGTATATGCAACATTCTTCATCCATATTTCCCCACCTCTATAGGGTGAAGTAAAGTGAAAAAAGCAATGACTCTAGAGTTAGAGAATCTGTACTTAAATCCCACCTATAACACTTACTTTAGGATGACATAGATGTCATCACTTACTTTTAGATGACACAATACCCTTATCAGTCTATTACTACCTGTATAACCTTAGGCAGGTCATTAACCTCTCAGGGCCACAGTTTCATTATTTGTAAAATAATAATGTTAGACTACGTGAACACTAAGTATATTTCATCATTTGTTCTTTGGGAAATTAGTTATTATACAAATATATGGCAAACACTGAATATCACAAAAGTGAAAATAACAGATGCTGCTATTGCTGTTTGTCCTTCATTTTTGAAGAGGACCATGACATCAGGGAGGTGATACCTGACATGCAGCTGAATTGGATTTGAGTAATGGAGGGCTGTGCAAAGTCACCAGCCTCACTTTCACCTCCAGAGCCATCTGGTTCCAGTTGCCAGGTTTAGATCAGGACAACTGGAGATGGCCCAGGATGCAGTGGGGGACCTTGGCCTTTTCAAGCTAAGATCTTTGACAGGTTTCAGTTTGACTGAGCCAATGAGAGCTAGAGTGCTTTGGATAGCCAGAGTGATTTGGGGTTACTAAGATAGCCTTATTAAAGCAAAACTTAAAATTAAACAAGAATATTAATGGTAGCACGTAGTGGCATACAGCTTTTTGAGTCTCTCTTTTAGTTCCACATGGATACCTGTGACCAGGAAGCAGCTAGTCAGATAG